AGCATACCTATAGTTTTCAAATATCTTTAAATATCTCCTACCTCTGATTTGTCCATTTCAACACTGTTTTTAAATCCAGCAAATTAGGGAAATTTTGGTATTTTTCACGAATACGATATATGACAGTTGTTTTTTATTGATATTATATTTTTAATGAAACATTCATAAAGATCACTTACATGCACAAATTTAGAACTTACGATAAATTTGGTTTCTATTAAATAATATTAGGAATATGCTTTCTGATTCTTGCTTAATTTTTGTCTGGAAGGTCCCTGTGTATTGGAGACGTTCTTTGACTAAGAGTGAAGGTTCAGACATCTATTTCACAAACTATGGGAACAGGAGTTTTCACGAATCAAGTTTTTTCATTTAGCAAAATTTAAGAGAAACGTGTAAAGTTTAGATCTCGAGAAACGCGCTACTCTGTCAAATACAGAGTAGCGCGTAATGGTCTCTAGGGTAAATTGCCAGGATATACGAATCAACGGTACTTTGTCGCATGAAGACATATTATTTATATCTACAGAAGAAAGTTTTACTTTTATTTGTAATGAGTAAAACTCGTGCCGTCGGCAACACTAGTCTCTTTGTCTTTAGAGAATAAAATCTATCAACTTAAAATTGTGAGCGATTTACCTATTGTGCATTCAAATAACATGAACGCAGTTGAGACACAAGAATTTGAGGAGTGCCCTTTCGTAGGCAAATAAAAAAATACACAATTAAAAATCACTTAGCCTGCACGAAAAGAAGCTAAAGACGCAGCTATGCCTGTCTATCTATCTTGTAAGGTACCCGGAGTTAAGGTAATGCATAAGTTAGATATTTGGGTACATCACAAGCTAACTGAAAGAAAAGTAATGAACCGTGTACTCATTTGTGATTCTTTATAACGGCGTTAAAAACATGAGAAGAAATTATCAGTTCTGTAAATAATTTCATATAAATATTTTTTTTTATCTTCCGCTAGCTTGAACTAATGTTCAGCCAGAATATTAATTCTTAGGGAAAGGTATAATAATATCTCAAGTTATAAATAACTCAAAATTCAAATTCTGATACCATAATACTTATATAAATTGTTATTACGATATCAACTATCTAGATAGGAAATTTGGTAGATAAATTAAGGTGAAACTACAAACATAATATAGATTATTTGTATACATAAACGAGCAATGTACATAATATAATAAAATATAGATTATTGTCAAACTAAACCCTATACCAAATCCTAAATTGCTTTAGTCACAAAAAGAGTTTCTGCTAACGGGCGATGTAGGTGCCTACGCAATTGGGAACATAGTGCAACGACAATAATGGCAACGGCGCCGGCGCCAGACCAGCTATTACTGATTATCGATATAATTATTTCAATACACTCGACTGGGCTTCAAGCACGTAGCGTCTGTTTCTGCTAATAAACGTGGATATATCAATAAAACAAATTTAAATACGTTGGTAACCAAGATTTTCTGCAACTATAATATAATCCATTATAGTTGCAGAAAATCTTAGTTGTGACAGCTAAAACCATTATATTTTTAAGCGAATCCCCGTATAGACGATTCCTTTTTATTCAATCATCGTATAGCAACCGTATTATTACATTCGTCGCATTACGAGGGAAAACTTTGTATTTTCAAATAAGATACGAACGCAATTTATCGAAGATAGGTACATACCAAGTTACTACCAGGATACGGACTTTATTATTTGATAGTCATTTAGCGGTATAAATAATAAAATGCTTAAATTCGTCCCACGAAGATAGCACAATTTAACTAGAAACAAACTAATTAATAACTAATTACACCTAATATGTACTTTTCCAAACGAATTTAAATATATTGTATTATCTTTATTGGAACTGCCAACTATAATCATTATGTTATTTAGGGAAAGATTTTTCCACCATATCTGTTAGCAATTTTTCACTATGAATTGCATTCTTGTATCCTTTGTGAAGTTTTAGATCAAATAATTTATTGCTTTAAGTTACTAAGAGTCATTTATCAATTCCGCAATAGGTACTATCTAATAGAATGCAGCAAAAATAATAATTTAGCATCAGAAAATAGCTGTAATCTAAAAGAAAATATTTGGTAAGCATCTCATAGATCTTCTACCGCTTACAGGTACCAATTCATTACAGAATGAGTACTGAGCATATCAGCTTTAAAAAGGCACTGCGAGAACTCGTTAGGTCCACCCCGGACCCTACTCAATGATAATGCGACTCCGACAAAGTATAAGTCAAGGATTAGACTTCAGCAATGGCGTAGTATCATCTATACATATATAAAAGGAGATGTCCTGACTTACTGACTGACAGACAATGCACAGACTAAACCGCTGATCGTAGAAACTTGAAATTTGGAGGACACATTCCCCTTAATACGTAGAGGTGTACTAAGAACGGATTTTTCGAAATTCAATGTAAAAAAGTTTGTATGAAACTTCTTTGTTTATGGACGATGCACAATGATCCATGTCGATGAAAATTAGTATTTGGGTAGTTTGGGTAAAATGTTACCATAGCAACCATTGTTTACAATCTGATTTGTCATTGTAATAAAATTACCTAATATTATTTACAAAATATTTTATTGTATAGCGATGATAACTGGTATTTGAGTAAATATTACATTTTTTAAATTTTAAAGGATAAAAATGTTCAAATTCAAGTAATTTTGTTTACGAAATATAAATTATTTTTATATTTTATTTATATATGAACTACACTAGACGGCGTTAAATGAATTCTAAATCGCAGATTTTTTGCCGTACAGGTAACAGCACATCAGGCTATACAAAACGTATAAGTTTTGTGTAAACTTCAGACCTGTTTTTCCAATTTAATTGGATTAATATCTCTAAAGTTTTCAAAGATAAAGTGCTGAAACATATTGGATATTTATTGTAGTATCTTCGAACCTAAACGGACGTAGTCGCGGGCAAAAGCTAGTTTAATAAAAAGAAAGTCAACGGGCCGTATATGAGACGAATTGCAGTAAATTGATTAATAATCAGGATTGTTCGGTTGTGTATTCTGCTAACTTAACAAAACTAAAGAAAGCAGGAGTCTTATCGTACCAAGAACTATAGGTTTATAAGACTGGTGGAACAATGTGTATACTCTACGTTACAAGAGCGTAAATCTTAAAGAACCAAATTTACTGTAGCATATTGTTAGTATTAAAGCCGATCACTATATTTTCTGCATGTTTATTACTTTTTTTACAAGTTTTTATTTAGATAAATTTGAGCCACTTTCCGAACATCGATTAAGCTGAAATTTTGGACATACAGCTTATATCACAATGCAATTTTAATGTGGAATGGACTCAATCTGATAGGAGGACGGTAGCAATGAGATTTCAATAATTAAACGATTCAACCCCATCGATTTTGAACTCTTTTGATTTGCCTTGATAAGGTATTTGGTCCGAGATAAGATACAGGGTCTGTTAATGGATTCTCTTTAACTGATCCTGAATCTTATCTCGGACCAATATATGGATATCAAGCTAAGATTGTCAATCCTAGGCTGATATCCAACAAAAGCTTGTTTATAAAATTAACTAGACTATCCAGCCATAATAATTGAAATTTTCCTTGAGAAAACAAACGTACGTAGTGTAAAATATCTAACAGTAACTAAGTACACTGCAGCCTACCATTTATTGTTTAATCTATCGAAACATTTTCATGGACTGTGTTTCTAGAAACAGGTACTATTTCGATATCATACTCGTACAATGCTTTGACTAATAAAAATAAATTAAAATGAAAAAGTAAGCTTGGTATACTTCACGAGTATAATTATTATGACTGCAACTAACAAGTAACGACAAAATATGCTTGTGATAACAATACCTCAATTAGAAATCAAGACGTTTAATAGGAATCCATTAAGCAGGTTTTGATGTGTCTATCTACAAGGAAGTTTATTGGTCAAAAGTAGAGATGTTAAAGTCTAATGATGACAATAATAATGACCATATTCTAGTCATATTGTTGGGCTTCCCTCCCCAAGTAAGAACAGAAGACATAACCTAAACTTACTCGTAAATTTGTAAATCTCAATTATCAAATTACAATAAAGTACTTATTGAAATCGTATAACAAACAAATGTTACAGTTTGTTTTTAAGAAACGATTTGTTTCATAGAGGTGCTTATCATGTGTTATCATGGCGATGTACTGGCGACAGAACCTGTATGATTGTGATAAGATATAAAATGACGACATGTGCTATTATTATCAGTGAAGGTACTGAACAGTCATCTCCTTACTTTGATTGATATCGTAATCTATGGAGTTTTTCGTTTCGCTAACAAGCTGTATGAACTGTGTATGTTCAATAAGTTTATAATAATACCTAAACAATTATTTTAATCATTACACCAAAACTTAATTACCCAATTAGGTATCTATATTGTTTAATAAATTAACGTCCGATGATATCTTTATTCAGTTTATTGTCAGTTTGAGCATCAAGAAGCCACAGTAATGGTGTACAATTTAAATATAGACGTGCAAGTAACTCGCTTGCAGTAGGTACTTAAGTACTTGTAGCTACTCCACAGGTAACCAATGCGATCCACCGCATTTGTACGTTGTGTACAACCAATCTAACGTAAAGAGACCCTTTTATGTACAATCAATAATGACTCTTAAGAAAAATACAGTGTTAATTTTATAATTCTTTCATCAATGTCAACAGTTATTAATCTTCTTACCTCTCATTAATTATTATTGTTTATCTACATTATAGTTACAGTATAAATAAAGCTTGATGTAATGTAGTTATACTAAATGTCCACTAACCAGGAAATTAGTGGTAGAATTTGTTATTAATGTTGTTTACCTAGATAAACGTCAGGGAGATTATGATTAATTATTCCTAATTCATATCTATTATAAGACAGATGCTGTATGCATATAAAATACGCAAAGTAAAAAATAATAAAATAAACATTGTTAAAACTTACTTCAGATAATAAATTTGTCCCTCTGGTGTGCGAGCTTGTTCCCACCCTGCAGGTAAAGGTCCCAAATCGTCTTGTAGATGTGACCCAACATCATATGATCTGTGTTTGGCGTGTTGATGATGTATCGGTTGTTGTTGGTTTTGTTGTCCAGCGGCATAAGTCTGCTGTAAGCTAGCTGGTGAAGAGTGTGCACGAGAATGTGACACTGGAGTGGCGCCAGTAGCGGACGACGATCCGAACGCCGAGTCAGCCGAGTTTTCTCGCGAGTGAGACACAGATGGCGACTTGGAACCGGTCGACGGCGGGTTAAAGAACGACTTTGGAAGCTGTCGCATACGGAGAGGCACCTGTAGTGGCCGTTTCGAGTCCGGCTTAAGCACAGTGTCGAACAATGACTGTAGAACCGAGTCCGAATCCTGGTCCACGCGGAGCACCGGATTCGATTTCTGTTCACCATCCGCATTGAGAGCCATGGTTATGTCGGTACAAAGTTATCCCGAAACCGACCTGGCCCACCTCTATGACACAACACTAGCACGCGACGGGTTGGCGCGGCGCCACCCGACGTTCTTCTATTATGGCGCTCGTCGCGCAACTGACGCATGCCCCGCCCGCGCCGCGCGAGGCTCCCTGCCCACGCGCACCCGCCGCACCACCACCCGCGCGGCTGTGGCCACGGACCGGTCTTCAAGAGCCCCTCACCCCGCTTTACTTACCTATCTCTCCTTAGCTTGCCTTGTCGTCGTAGGTAGCCAGACAGACAAGCTCAAGAACGAAAGATAGGTTTTTATTTTATCATATTGTTTAGTGTAACAACTTTTTCAAAGCTTTATTACATTTGATGGTCAAGATCCCGTTGCTACAGATATTTAAGAAGTCCTAATAGTAATGGTATCCACGGCATCTTACTGGACTTTAATCATAATGGTGGGATCCATTAATACCCAGCCTTTTCAAGTCTCATAAATAACTTTTGAGTGCATCTTGACAACACACCACACAGGCCCTTCCTATTTATCAATGTTGATTTCTTTTCTCGATGTTGTCTTTTCAATATTTTGCGTGAAATAATTTGCAGCAAAAACAATAAAAACATTTTCCTGTCATTTAAGTGACACAGACAAACGAGAAAATAGTTTTTCCTGAAAAAAATGCATTTCAATCTGCATACCTAGAGAACTAGGAAACTTAATTGAGAAATGGATGGATATGAAAGTATAAATATGGATATGTAATATACCTATATAGTACGAAATAAATCTCGTAATCTGGTTACAAGAAGACTTGAATAAAATAATCGAGAAGGTACTAATTCGTTTATGTTTTATGACCAATAAACTACTCTTGAAAAGATCGATAACTGTTGATAAGATGAGGATAAAAATTGCAGAAAAATATCGTGTAGATAGAAGTATGACACTGATAATTAGGAAAATTTACAATCTGTTGATATCACTAGGTACTTATTACTGTTACAATGAACTTCACTGAAGTCGATTAAAAAACCGTGGTGGTGGAAACTATAATTTAAGCTAATCTTAGGAAAATAAACACATTATTGTCACAGTACACAAAACAGCACATCGTGTTCACAATACATAAAATGATTGTGTCAGGTTGATGTTGGATATTGTGACATAATTTTACTTGTTTGTATTGTGTCAGGGTCGATATTGGACTTCATTATATTTTCGTACCGCGATTGTGTGCTATATATTGTATTTCATTAATTTTACATTGAACTGTAGTTAAGCGATGTAATCAAAAGAAATTTATTTCGAACACCAAAATAATAGTAAATGAAATGAGCATCTAAAATTACTAGTTACATGAGTTGATACTTTGCTGATAGTTAGTATAATGTTCTTATAAATACAACACACAAATGCTTCAAAAGTTCAAACATCCTGAAGTTCATTAAAGGGATAAATAGCTGCGTCTCAATTGAGACCCGAAAAATGTAAAACCAGAGTACACAACTGTGCAATCGTCATTTTTGTTCAACTTTCGTGCCACGCATTCAGTGGCGTAACGCAGAGGGGGGATTTGGGAAAAATTGCCCTTTGTGGGATCGAACCACAATACTCGATCCGTGGGGAGTTGCATGGCGACAACTAAACCACTCGACCAACCGTACTATCAAAATCTAACCTGTATAGGGTAAAATAACGATGAAATTTTTTGCTGAAAAATTCTTTTAAATTAATATATATAATGTGTAGTATAATTATATAAAATACCTCATTAAAAGGGGCAGCAAATTTGTCTTCCGCCCCGGACAGGAGACACCCACGCTACGCCACTGCACGCTTTATACAATACTTTGTTAGGCAGGTACGGTAGCAGGCAGAAGATGGAAGGGAGAGGTGATCGTGTATTTTCGCATCCCTTCGCTCTATTGGACCGCATGTTCTAGGCTGTAGGTATGACTGTCTATGGAAAAAGTGGTGAGGTACCCTGGTTTTTTCCAACCCGTAAAAAGGGTTCCGCATCATAGGATTGGATCTATCAGGCCATCGCAATATTTCGGATCCTTTCCCCTGCTACCGAGGATATGTTGACGCAGATTTTATCAGGTAGGCCAATCACGCCAAGGGCATGTGGTTGGACAATCCTGATCTTAGATATAAGGTGTATTTCTCTTGCGTTAGTAAAAAAAGGGCACATCATAGGTATATAGTTATCTACATAAAGCGGTACTGACAATGTACCAGTATGATAATACTTATAACGCGCACTCCCATGCTTCATATTCTAATTCGTGTCTGGATCTCAATAATTCTTCCCGTAGGCACTAGAGAGTGCAATCCCGCGATCTCGAAATACCGAAATTTTACACTCATATTGCAAGATTGGTCTTGCACTCCAAAACTCCAAATCATGCGATTTGCAAGATTGCATAGCAATAAAACAATTTTTGCCATCTTTCTATATCCCTGTAAGTTTATGATTAATTTTAACGGTCCAAAAGGCAGAATGTGGACTCATAACTCGATGCAAATAAGGTAAGTCTAATAAGTCTAATCTAAAAACATCAGCGCTATGAACGTTAAACACAAAATCCGTTAATAACTTAACCTCTGATATTACCTCGTATGTTCATAAGTTTTGAGACGAAATAAAAGTTGCGTAACATTTTTAATAATTAACTTATATTTCTTAAATTTTCAGTAACCATTAAATGGATAATAATCAGCAATAAAATATATATTTTATTCAAAATGACCGTCCTTGTTTTTAATACTGGCCCTTAGAAGATTTGGCAAGTCATCAATGGCGGCACGAATCTTTTCTAGCAGAATTCGCTTTGCTTCTGGAACACGGGTTCTCTTCAGTGACTCCAAGTTGGGTGGGACTTTCGGCAAGCCTTGAGCTCTAATTCAGTCCATAAAGAATAATCCAGTGGGTTGAGGTCGCGGCTGAAAGAGGATCACTCGTCCGCCGCGATGAAGGTCGGCATGTTCTCCCTCAACCAAGCTTGGGTGCTTTGTGCCTGATGGGATGGCGCCGAGTCTTGCTGAGAAACCCAATCCTTATTGTGAAATAACATCTAAAATGTCACTCTGATAGTTCTTGGCTTTCACCTTGACACCTTGTCGGCAGAAATGAAGTGGAGTGACATCTTCATACGAAAGTCCCCACCATCACATTGACAGATGATGATGAGTAAGTGAGATATTCCGTGCAGAAGCTGGGACATCCCCGCTACTTGAAGCGTACACTGTATTGTTCTGTGGGTTGATTTTTTCTTTAAAAATTTTCTCGTAGGTGAAGATTATCTTACTGGCATCATATCTCCTCAGCAGCAATGGACAACGTTCGCGTCGTAACTTACGGAGACGATAGTTTAAAAAGTGAACTTTTCAACGGCTATAGGCCTTTACCTTAAGATCATATTACAGTATTCTGTTCATTGAAACGCGCGAAATATTAGTCTGCAGAGAGTTTCTTCTGAGTGCGACATGGATTTCGACGAAGTCGCTCTCGGATGATTTTAATATTCGCAAGCGTCCTCACATAGCGTGGCCGACCACTCCTTTAGCGCTCTTGTAGAGAACGTGTCTCTTTATAACTTTCAGCATGCGGAAAATCTGCATCGGATTTTTCCCGCCTTAAATAGCTAAATCACAGTTGCCCGTAAATGTTACGTTCCCTCCATTATGAGAAAAAATAAACAAATGAATTTGCGATATATATAAACTAAAAGTCAACATCCCAAATTCAAAATCGTTAAAAATATAACACCCAGTTACATTTTATTTTATGTTTTCGGTTAAAAGTTTGTCTCAAAACTTGTAAACACACGAGATAGTATAGATTTTTACAATACTTACAAAAAACAGATAAACACTATTTCAATCAAAACCAAATAGCAATTAAGCTACTTGTATTGAAATAACATGTTTTCTGTTCGGATGAAATCAATCAATCACTGAAGTTTTTCACACACAAAAAATAAAAACAACAGAAACTTTTTGCTGATAAATTTCTTTATGCATGCTTAGGAGGATGATAATAACTGACAACAGTAGTGATGTGTCTGATGAAGTGATGAGATTTTTATCGAGTCAATCAAAAAATGTTTAAAACCTCGTTTGTTCGTACTCGAGTGAATTTATATACCTATTTATAAAAGATGATATATTATATGACGTTAAAATCGAAATTGAATCGAAATAAAGTACAAAATCTGAACTGCTCACACTAATGTAAGTTTTTTACGTTTCACAAGTATAATTGAACTGCTATCAATTGATCATCAAAAAAACTTAAAACAAAACGAAAACTTGTTCTAAGTTACTTTTAAGTACATTTTGAGACGTTCTTGACCTAAAAATTCTCAATTCGAAAATTTGAGAATGGTGTAAGACATTCATTCTCAAATTCAATAATTAAGTAAAGTAGTTTCGCATGAGAATCCATTTGCGCTTTCTTCTATATAATAGTTACTGATATTTTCTTGCTTATGATTTGTTATCGAAAATGAATTTTTTGATTTCTCAGAGACATTCACTCAAATATGAAAATACCTACAAAGACGCCAAGTGTGACATAGGCATTAGTAAATGTATGCATACAAAGTTTGAATACACATTTACAGTGATATAGATAAACAAGGTTTAGCGTCAAAGTAAATTTACGCTAAAATTGTAATTTTAGTATTCATTATATACAAAGAATAATAAAATCTACTACCAATAAATATTACTCCAGTAGAACCTCGTACTATGTTAGCCTTTGCTAAGTCTCTGTTTAATAATATGAATTTCGACTTATACTAAGTGTAGTCTCAGCGTAAATATACTCCAACGCTAAACCTTATTTATTATTAATAACAGTGTTAGAGTTTGCCATCATGTGACGGTTTCCTTTTCTCTTTACTATTAATCTACATAGGTTGCTTGGAAGAGATTTCTATTTAGCAATAAGACCGCCTTTTGTGTACTTTATGTTGTTATACTGTGTAATTTCACATTCAGTATCTAAAAATCCGTAAAATTACGTTTCAATTTCATAATTATGTAAGAATTATGAAATTGAAACGTAATAAACGTAGAATAGTATAAAAAAAAGATAAAAACCCAATTCCATCAAATCGCAAGAAACTAGATCTCACCATCTATTGATATCCTTGGGAATCGATTATTAATTTTTAAAATCTATCGCAATCCCTTTTAATTTGACATTTCAAAGATATTCACGAACTTAACTTTTTTAAAGATATTCAATGTAAGATGTTGTTAATTTGACCTTCTAAGGCAAGCGTTAGACGCAAATATCTTTGAAAGTTATTGAGAAATATTTACTATTGCTAACTGCAATTTTTCAACGTGTTTGGGTAAGATTTTATTGTTTCTTGATTATCTATTATCTATTATCTAAAACTATCATTCGTTCCAAATGCGACTGCAAATTTAAATGTTACATTATTTCATATATTTTTGCCTTGAATTACTCATACACCATTACTTATAAATTTTTGTATGTAGTATTTATCCGCGGACATACACGCGGCTTAAAATATAAAAAGGTTTATGAGGTACCTACTGCATTTTTTCTCCATAAAAATTACTTCGATAAAGTTTTATATTTAAATTTAAAATATGAAGTTTTTTCATAGAAATAACATCTAGCTAGTGGTTTCGCCCGCGTGGTCCCTAGGGAAATGTTTCATCATCATCATAATCATCAGACCTTTTACGACTCCACTGCAGGGGCTCAGGCCTTCCTTATAGATAATTAAGGAGTACGGGCCATGACCCTCCACGCTGGCCCAATGCGGATTGGAGGGTATTAACGACTGCAAATGCAACTAGGACTAGGACTAGCTCGGTGGCATAGTGGCCTGCAAATCCACTATGCCACCGAGCTACTCTTTAGTGGGATAAGATTAAGTAAAATGTTTAAGTAAAATGTTTAGTGGGATAAAGAGTATCCTTTTATCTATATCAGCTAATACCCTATCTGTATACCAAATTTAATAAAAATCCGTTCAATAGTTTCGGCGTGATTGACGGACAAACATCCAAACAAAGAAACTCTCACATTTATATTATTAGTAAGATGTTTTAACGTTACTTCACTCCCTTATGGATTGAATTTCTGAACATCACATCATATCTCCACTGACTAAAGAGTCGGCCTGTTAAAGCAAGATGATTGACGATGATTTTGATGATATAAAGAAAATAGAACACAAATTCTTTATAGACAATAGAAGAGATCGTTTGTTTTTCCACGACTATAACACTGATCTAAGCAGCAAAACATCGACCCGAAAAATCGAAGATTCACATTAAATATATCGATTTTCGGTTTTACGAATCGAGATCAGAATTCCTAGATCTTATACTACTCTAATACTATAATACTCTTTGATCGCATTCACAGCATTAAAAATCCTTTACTCTTTGTTTTTGTATGTAAAATTGTGAATAAAAATTTTATTCTTCTTAAGTGATTCTTACCTATAATGACTTCAGTTTGTGATGGCTGAATGAAATTATTTTTATTGAAGAATTTAGTTAAAATTATAATAATTACGATTTGCATAATGTAGATAAATAAGTACACTGTGAGACTATCTTGTAACGTTGTCGGTGCGATTCTGCGCAATGAACTCTACCATTTCATTATAGAAAACTATCAATAAATGCCATGCAATGATGAAGGTATACGAAGCTCAACATCGCTATCTTGCAGCGCGCATGCGCTGTATTACCACTTTGAAACTGAAGTGGAAAAATCATTATCCCAGATTCCAGCGCAAATCGCATAAGCATATAAGTTATGGCTAAGGTTCTACAAAATAATTTTGAACGGTGTTGCCGCCTATGTGCAGAAGAACAAGATGTGACAATTATGATATTTAGTGATGAAGCAGAAGCAATGTTGCTCCAAAACAAATTAAATCAATATTTATTGATTGAGGTAAGCTAAAAATATACATTTCTAACATATTATTTAACACTTGAAGACTCCATATTTATTTAATTTCAGTCAGATTTTTAATGTAATATATGTTTCAAAGTAAACAATAACTAACAAATGCCCTAACTCATCACTTTCAGGTTGATGAAGATGACAAGCTTCCCAAGAATATTTGTATTCAATGTTGTAGCAAACTCCAAATAGTATGTGACTTTATTGACACTGCACGTAACGCACAAACAATTCTTCTTAACCGCAGTATAGCCTTAGATAATGTAACAAATAATAAATCATCTGAAATATTGCTTAAACAAGACATCAAAATAGAACCAGATACTGGATCTGATGATGAAAACAAATCAACTGGGATGGAAATTAGTGTGGATCCAATGTTAGTATTGCAAAACTCGGAAGAACCACTCTCACCAAATGCCTTTGAAAACTGTGCATCTATTGAAGATGTTACTCATTTACATGATGTTGATAGTGATAATGTGACAATTAAACTTATTAGAAAGGGGGATGTAACATGTGAAGAGACTAATAAAAATGAAGAGAAACCAAGTGAAAAAGATTGGCACTTAAAACCATTCCCATGTGAGACTTGTCAAAGAAGTTTCTTTACTGAATTAGCTTTGAAAAACCACTCTTGGACTCATATTAATGATAATGATAAGGATAAAAAAATATTTAAATGTGGTACTTGTAATAATGGATTTGATTATAAAATTGACTTAATAACTCATTTAAAACAACATAAAACCATTGGTCTATGTCAATTTTGTGGAAGGAGGTCAGTAAATTAACTATTTTTGGATTTTAATCATTAACCTTTACTGTTCCAGATTTTCATTTTGCAGATTAATGAAGTTGTTTGCATTGTTTACAGCTTCAGGTCTCAGAAGAATCTAGAGGCTCACATGTCTGTTCATCTTCCATATAATAGATCATACACATGTAAAGTCTGTGGAAGATCTTATAAAACAAAAAGCAATCTGAAGACACACAGCATCACCCATAGTAATGAAAGGCCTTTTCATTGTCATATATGCAAGAAAAGTTTTAAAAGAAATCAGGACTTGAAAGTAAGTTTTCCATCATTTGTTTTACCTAAGTACCTTTTGTGTGAAATATATTCACAAATATTGAACTTTTATAGTTTATGAGTCCTCAGAAGTTGATAGACTTAGGGCCAGTTTTTTGATCCGTGGTTAACTCAACCATTTGTTAAAATCTTTGACAAATGGTTAAATATCAGAAAAATATGTTTTTTGATGAATAGTTAGCTTAACCAATTGTCAGAATTACAACCATTTGTCAAAAAATTTAACCATCACTGGAAGCTAAGTTAAGTAAATGACCAATTGTTAAAAGAACAGATGTACAACTGCGTTGTATTTACTTGGTCCCTTATTGTTTTTTTCGTTGTTTTTATAACCTACACGATTTCATAGTGAATTTGGACATTAGCTATTTTTGGAATTTCGTTTTATGATGCAATTTTATAGGAAAATATTCATTGTCATTTTTTGGTTATAGGGTTATTGAAAATAAGTTATATTTTTATCTTGATCATCCTTAGTATATTTGTACTATATAGAAATATTTTTTTTTGTTTCCACGGGCAGATGCCAAATTATTCAATTATTAAAAATCTTATAAATTCCACGAATAGACAATACAAAAGGTAAATATGCCTACAGTACATAAAATACATAGTCCTCGATTTATTTTCCAACATTACAATCCCACCTTGGATAGTAGATACTATATTCTTTTCACGTATTTCTCTATAGGATAATTAAAAACAAATATATGCTTTTTATAAAAAGTTAAGTTTAAAATAACTGGAAAAAACATATCTTTGTTGCTTTCTAATATTATTAAAGAATAGGGAATATGCGTCTGATTCAAAAAAGGGTTAAATATATTTTATTACAATCGTTATTGCTTTAGAATAAAGTCTATCTAAATATTTTTCAACATTAGTTCGTTTTCGTCTTGAAAATAATTATTAGAAAGTGCAAAATAAATGCGGTAACTTCAAAATATTTAAACGCCATGCTACTTATCAAAGCGGATGTGACGAAAATGTACACGTATAGGGATGTCGTTGTTACAAAAAGTTAACATCGATGCAATAACATCAATGTATTATGTCGCAAAATAAACAACTGATTACAATTTAAATGATGTTTTAGGCTTTTATTTTTATTTCATCAAATTGGTAAATTATATGATTTATTAAAAAGTCTATTATACTTTAAAAAATCGATTAGTTGTTAATTGATTTAAGTAATTGAATAATAATCAATCGCTCAAAATCCATATTGATTTATAGTGTCATATCTCTAGTCGTGTACTTTGACGTCACGACGAGAGCGCCAAAAATACCGGTGTTTAAACTGCTCGTAGCTATTACTTATTTTCATCAATGATTAATGTTACAAAATTTTAGTTTTTCGGTGCTGGGTATTTTTTTACAGTTATATATCGATGTAAATTATCATATAAAACCATTTTCCAAAAATGTGCATATTTCCTATTGCCTTATACTTCCTGAAAAATAACACATAGTGCACACAACAGAACAACCATAAACATCCACATTGTTTGCTAATCTATAGATTTCTTTCGTCTATTTGATATTTAGAACAAAATCCTAATGTCAAAAATGGTATATAGTTCGCTCCGTTCATTCAAACCGTTAGTGTTGTCACCCAGAAAAAAATTACCCATGTCAATGTATAGCGAAAAAACGACTCATTATGCTGGCAACAAATTGGTCAGTGGTTAAATTTGACTATGGTTAAATTTGGCATCAAAAAACGAAATAGCGAGTTAACAACTTGTTATTGTTTTAACTATAGTCAAGTTAACAAATGGTGAAATGACATTTGACTACGGATCAAAAAACTGGCCCTTACAGTCAGTTGGACTAACATCCAATAATATTTAATGAGGACTTTAATGATGTTCTAAATTTGAAAATTAGTATCAGTAATCTTTCTAAACTAAAGAAATTTTTAATGGATGTTTGTGCTACCGGCTGTTAAGCTTGTGTGAGATTTGTTGCAACTTGTGGATGTGTATTTGCTTGTTACAGAGCAGGCAGTACACCTTTGGTCTTTCAAATACTGACTGAGTGTGAAAGTTGCTAAATATTAGAGTTTCTCAGTTAATAAACATTATAAGTTTTTAATATACATATGTAGTTTTTTATAGAATATATGTGCTTTAATTACAGTTCCACATTAATCAACATACTGGAGCAAGGCCTTATAAGTGTCCATTTTGTGACAAAAGTTTTGCTAGCTCTGGGAACTGCTATTCTCATAGAAGTCGGATGCATCCTGGTAGGCGTGTAGAATCTAAAATAAAGCTTCGTGGCACAGTGTCAAGGGAAAATCAAGTTACACTTCCTAGAATCCTTCCCAAAACCACACTCACATCAGTAAAAGGAATATTCAAATATCAGTGCACACTCTGTGAACATAGTTTTATGAGGCGAGACAACTTTACAGTAAGTAAAACTGACATGTCATATTATAAGAGTAAATACCATATTATAAGAGTAAATACCAGGTGGATTGAAAAGTTTGCGGCCTCAGCAAGAAAACAATATAAAATATAAGCAAAAGTAATTTTATTTTTTATTCCATGTAATCTCCACTTAACTCTTTGCACTTCTTCCATCTTGTTTACAACACCTGTATGCCGGTCACAAAAAAAGTTTCTTCAAGGCATTCAAAAAGTCACCCACCGCAGCTTCGACCTCCTCATTTCATGAAAATTTTTGAACTCCAAGGTGTTTTTTTAGGTTTGGGAATAAATGAAAGTCTGAAGGTGCCAAATCAGGGGAATAGGCGGGATGGGGCAGTAATTCAAAACCACAATCACGAATTTGAGCTACAGATTCAACAGATTTGTGAATGCGTGCATTATCCTGATGGTACAACACTTTCTTGCTGAGTAATCCTGGCCTTTTCTCTTTGATTGTTTCGCGCAAGCGACGTAAGAGGGTGCAGTAATAAGCCGAGTTTATAGTTGTACCTTTTACAAGGTAGTCCACCATTATGACACCCTTAGCATCCCAAAAAACTGACGCCATCACCTTGCCAGCTGACAAAATTGATTTGACTTTTTTGGAGTCGGTTCATCACCTTTTTTCCACTGCTTGGATTGCTGTTTTGACTCTGAGATGTAGTGGTGTACCCAAGTTTCATCCATTGTTACAAATCTGGATAAAAAATCTTATGGATCAGCCTCAAACATTTCCAAACAGTCGACGACCAGTTTTGTTTGACTAAAAGCAATCTGGGTAACCATCGCGCAGAAACCTTAAAAAATCCAAATTAATTGACTATGATGTTTTTGTGATCTGTCAATATCAGATCACAGTTTTTCCCAATGTTTTCTTCAGTCGTAGACGTCATAGGCCGGCCAGAGCGAGGGTCATCTTCAATACTCTCTCGTGCGCGCTTAAATTCAGCAACCCACTTTTTCCAAGTCGTATACGACGGAGCAGATTCCCCCAATGTCGTTGACATATCTTCGTGAATCTCTTTTGGAGTTAGTCTTTCTTTAAATAGGTATTTGATGACCGCATGTTGCTCAATTTTCTGCATTCTTTAAAAATGCTGCACAAAGCCTCACAAAATTCAGTCTAATTTAAATACAGTTAATGCTATTGTGATAGAATTTTACAATTTGTCAACCAGAGAGTAAACTAATCGAATGATGTCAGTTACATTAAAATAGTTTAAGTATTTATGTGTTAGGCCGCGAACTTTTCAATCCACTCTCGTGATTACATTGATGTTATACAATGTCTCTCTCTCAATGTAAATAAGAATGTCTAAGATAGATACCTCCAATCACAAATACAATCAAATGGATGTCAGTGTAGCAATACATGTCAGTCTTGACTAAGGTTGCCAGATTTTTTAAGCTTGTAAGGTACAAATAATGAGAGAAAAAATACGACATTTTGACCAGGATAAATAAAAAATGGTAACTAATATTGATCTTTTTTATATTTTTCAGATGAACACGTTTGTTCAATGAATTCCTTTTAATACGCACATGATTCGACAAAAAAAAAATACAATTTTAATCATAGTTAAACATGGACATAAATTCGCTTTTTATTCCACCCACTTTAACACCATTTGTGAAATGGAATTGTTATAAGGGACGGTCGGTTCAGGCAGGACATTTGAATTTATGCATGAAATACAGGAAGTCTGGCAACACTTGTCTTGTCCCTGTACACATCTGTTTGATTTAAATTATAGGGGAAGGTCTATATCCAGAAGTATTATAATGCTAACTACACAGAGAAAACCATCATGATCTGCCCTTTAACGGCCCCACTGCAAGGGCTTAGGCCTTCCTTATAGGTAGTAGCCTCAGTAGCCTAATGCAGATAGGAGGAAATTTACAAATTTATTGATTATTATAATTTTAAATTTAGCCTTTCCATGAATTGATTTGTTTCAACTATTGTACTGCATTTATATTATTAGTATTGTTCCTACCAAATCTGACAAAAACGATTGAACATTAATCCTAAGCTTGATTAACGTTATAGGCTACTTTTTATTCCACTATAGGGTTCTCTAGGGATAAATGTACTGTCAAGTAATCTCTAAAAATATTTTTTAAGCATTTTTCATGAAGAATATAAAGGATTCTTATTTATTGTATCCATATGTTTGTTTTTTGTCCATTGGTGAACAATTAAGAAGTTTTCATTCATAAAAAAATGAAAAACTTTTGTTTCTATCACCAAGTTAATAATGATGAACTTGTAGAGTAGGTTTACTATTTTTTTTTCTTTTTTCAGTATCACATGTATCAACATACAGGAGAAAAGCCATTCCAGTGCTCGTTTTGCACAGATAAATTTGTCACACGAAGAGGTCTTCTTATTCATCACGACAAAGAACATCCCGCAAAAGATAGACCGCTGGCGTTATTATCTAAAAACTTACTACTAAAATGATGTTAACACTGTAAACAAACTGAAGAAAATATATAATATGATTCAAAATTGTTTTAATTTGGCTTTTAATACATGCAGCATATGGTAATCACCACAAAAGAGATATAAATGTTGAACAACTGCATATCAGTGGACTAATTTGTCTTATTTCAATATCTATCACAACCCCTTTCAAATATATAGCGATTGTGTTAACTGTTCATGTACAGTGGAATCCGTTTATAATAACATCGAAGGGAATTGACAAACACGTCGTTATAAGCAGACGTCATAAAAAGGGTTTGGTGACAATTTTTTAAAATGTAATTATGTATGTTTTTTAATATTTTTAATAGAGCATAAAAAATCATCATCATCAGCCCATATTCGTCCACTGCTGGACATAGGCCTCCCCAATTGCACGCCATCTACTTCGATTTTCGGCTATTCGCATCCAGCTCCTGCCAGCCATCTTGCGCAAATCATCGCTCCACCGCGCCTGAGGACGTCCTACACTACTTTTGCCGAGACGCGGTCTCCACTCAAGAACTCGTTTACCCCAACGGTTATCGGTTCTGCGGCTAATATGGCCAGCCCACTGCCACTTCAGCTTGCTAATCCGGTGGGCTATGTCGATAACCTTGGTTCTCTGCCGGATCACCTCATTTTTGATTCGATCCCGCAGAGAAACGCCGAGCATAGCCCTTTCCATAGCGCGCTGAGCGACCTTCAACTTGTGGACCAGCCGTGCCGTCAGTGTCCACGTTTCGGCTCCGTATGTCATAACGGGTAGGACGCACTGATTAAAGACTTTTGTCTTTAGGCACTGCGGGATCGACGATGTAAAGACCTGACGTAGTTTCCCAAACGCTGCCCAACCTAGCCGAACTCTTCCATTTACCTCGCTCTCGAAGTTGTTTCTACCAAACTGCAATGTTTGCCCGAGGTATACATATTTTTGAACAATTCCGAGAACGGCACCGCATAGGGTCAGCTGTTCAACAGTTAGCCACTCGGACACAATTAACCACACTCATATTTCGTAAACGCGACGTTGCCATTTCGTGCAGTCACGTGTTTTAGACCTCTAAATAGCCCCTCCCCCCTATTCCCAGTTTGCAGCGAGCTTGCGCCGACGTCGCTTGTGTTAGATCAAATTTTGTGTTTTTTAATGGAAAAAGTTGAAAAAAAAACGTGAGTATTATTTCTCTTCATTTCTTTTTGTGTATTATTACTAAAATCATTATGTGTCGTTTGTGTGGACTCACTAAACGTGCTTTATTTAATATATGCAAAATGTATGTACTAACACGCGTTCAAAAGTGAGGCTAGCGTAACGACTTCGGTAAGAGGGTGTTCTACAATTAACCAAAATGCTTTGTTCAACAGTTAACCACGGTTAATTGTGTACTACCTATGGTTAATTGTGTACTAACAATGATTAATTGTGTACTCGTATTATTTATTATGTATTGTGAGTTTTTTTTTGTAGTATTATAGATGGGACGTACTAAACAACCTGAAAGAAAAAAAGGAGGGCATTCGGGTGAAATCATGAAGGAGGCAATAGAATTGGTCCAAGGTGGGATGAGCATAAGAAAGGCTAGTGAAAAATGCCAACTTAGTTACCCGACAGTTCGACTATATATGAAAAGGTTTAACGAAAATGCTGGACAAACCATACGATTCACACCAAACTATGAAGTCAATAAAGTTTTCGCAACAGAAAAAGAAGATGAAATAGTAAATTATATTGAATATTGCGCTGAATTATTTTATGGCCTCTCTTGTAAAGACTGTCGACGCATTGCATATCAACTTGCCAAAATAAATAATATCAATATTCACCAATCTTGGAACGATAATCAAATGGCGGGAGTTGAATGGCTCCGTTCATTTAGAAAAAGACATCCTCAAATTTCCCTGAGAAAACCAGAAGCTTGTAGCTTAGCAAGGGCGACTGCTTTCAACAAGCACAACGTTGATTCCTTTTTCCGTAATTTAAAATCTGTCATGGAAAGGCATCCTAGCTTCGCAGATGGTACTAGACTGTATAATTTAGACGAAACTTCTACCACTACCGTTCAGCGACCAGGCAAAGTATTAGCAAGGAAGGGCACTAACGTAGCAAAGATTACAAGCGGTGAAAGGGGTACCCTAGTCACAACCTGTTGCATTGTTTGCGCGATCGGACAAGCTATACCACCAGCTATGGTATTTCCTAGAAAAAATTTCAAGCAACATATGCTGCATGGGGCGCCACCGGGTACGTTGGGTTTGGCTGCGTCCTCTGGCTGGAGAATGCTGACATTTTCGTAGATGTCATGAGACATTTCATTAAGCATGTTTCAGCTTCTAAAGAAAATCCTGCACTTTTATTGATGGACAACCATGAAAGTCATCTTTCGATTGAAGCTCTCAATCTTGCAAAATCTTCAGGTGTCACTGTTTTGACCGTTCACCCACATACAACTGCAAAGCTCCAACCACTCGATGTTGGACTAAATGGTCCGTTTAAGACATATTATAATGCAGCGGTAGATTCGTGGCTGTTGCGAAATCCAGGGCAAGCTCTAACTATTTACAATGTTGCCGAGTGTGTCGGTTCTGCGTATTTAAAAGCCATGACTCCTGTCAATATAATAAATGCATTCAAGAAATGTGGCATATTTCCATTCGATGATTCTTGTTTTACAGAGGCTGATTTTTTGCCTAGCACAGTTACTGATAGGACCCTCATACCACCTTCAACTACAGAAAACCCAGAGCAATCGGAAAATAAAGCGCCAAGTTTTAATGCTTCTCAAAATAATTCTAGTTTGCAGATGAGTTCTACCAACCAAAATAATATGTCACCAGCGGTACAGGACCTCGACCTATCGCCTAGTATTATAACGAGCCAAGACAATATTGAGCAGATGCCACCTCACTTATTAGAGTCTCCCAGCGTACCGGTTTTATCTCCAAAAGTTTTGGAAAGCAGTGAACCTACTCCTTCCACGAGTAGAGGCTTCATTTCACCAAAGGATTTCTTGCCTCCAATTAAAGTGAAACCTCGTTCCATGAAAAGACGCAGAGTTCCAGGAAAAAGTATGATTGCGACAGATACCCCCGAGAAAGATGCTATTGCTAAAAAGAAGAAAAAAGACAACAAAAAGCAGATTGATAGAGCAAAACAAGATTTATTGAAATGCGATAATAAAATACACGAGAAGTCTAACAAGGGTAACAAAAATACACACGATATAGGTAATGATGATACATCAGATGAAGAACAATTTATTGCCAGTGGGTCATCATCTGGTGGTGAAGAATGTCTCAGTGAAAATGATGATGGAGATGGGGTAATAGTATTAGATGAAGACTTCTTACCAATAACTCGAGACCCAAAAGAGAATGAATTCATTCTAGTGGTATTTCCATTGAAGAAAACAAATGTTTATTACGTTGCAAAAATATTAGAAAAGATTGATGACGACGAGGAAGATTCGGATTTTTTCGTAAGTTGTTTAAGACTGAAAAATAGAACGCGTCAAACATTTTACGAGCCAATCGTTCCAGATACAACAGGCGTACAGGTACGGGATATTAAATATATACTACCAGATCCAAGAATTACAGGCAGCAGCCGAAGGCAAATTTCTATTTCATTTGATGTTCATTTCGACATGACGAAGTTGAATTTGCGCTAAAGATTTAGATTTCAGTGTTAGGTAGTTAACTACCTTTTTTTTCTTATCCATCTTTGATTTAATTGTTTAATGTTTTGGTTTTTTTTTTAACTGTTTACGCCAAAAAATTATAGCTGGCAGCCAAAGGAAAACTTCTTTTCTTATTTAATGTTTATTTCGATATATTATTTACTTACCTATGGGACTTGATAGATATTTATATCTCATTATAATTAGGTATGAGTTACCAATTTTTTTGATCTCATTAATTAGGTAGAAGTTACCTTTTTTTTTATCTATCTTTAATAATTGTTAAATGTTTTTTTGTTAAGACATAAATTGTTTTTATCTTACGTCATAAGACTGACTACGTGCTATAAGCAAGTTTTAATGAGACTAAATTGATGTCTCTAATTATGTCAGGATTAGCAGATGTGTCCAGCATTATAATAATTCAAGTATTAGGTATAGGTACATAAGTATATTTTAAGAAGTTCGAAACGTACTATAATTATAATGAATAAATACTTTTAAAACTTAAAAATGTTATTTTGTTACATTGCAGATTGTTGATTTTATAGACCCGTAAAATTGTTGTAATAATTATAAAAATAAATATTTTATCTCAATTTTGATTTGTTCTTAATAAGTAAAAGGTTTATTTCTCAGCACATGGTGTTATTTATTTATTTACCGTAAGCGGTTAATTGTGTACTACCATGGTTAATTGTTGCAACCCCCCCGGCTAATAGTGTACTATAGGGTGGACACAATTAGCCAATTCCCATTTTTTAAAAAAAACTTTATTAAATCAAATTTCACACAAAAATAAGACATTCATATATGCCAATATGTAGCTAATGAACCTAGGCAATGACCAGAATAAAAAACCGGTTGTTTTGAATGAGTGATTACGAGAGGCGATGGTTTGAATTTTATGCGGTTAACTGTTCAACAACTCACCCTACTGCAATCGGTTCCGGTAGTACGTGTTCGTTGAACATGACCTTGGTTTTATCCAAGTTCATCCGTAGGCCGATGCGCATAGAAGAGTCAGCCAGGTCATTCAGCATCTGTTGTAGGTCCTGCAGATTTTCTGCCATGATGACGATGTCATCAGCAAATCTCAAGTGAGAGATGTACTCGCCATTGATGTTGATGCCACGTCCTTTCCAGTTCAGCGTCTTAAACATATCCTCCATTGCATTAGTAAACAATTTCGGAGACATAACGTCTCCTTGTCTCACTCCTCGATGCAACGGTATAGGACTTGTTTGCTGATTCTGTACTTGGACGGTCATGGTGGCGGCCTCATAAATACATCTTATCACTTGGATGTATCGCCAATCGACTTGGCATCGCTGCAGGGACTCCAGAACGGACCAGATCTCAATCGAGTCAAAGG